GCCTTGAGTGAAAAAGTCCTTGTACCTCTCTGGCCCCATTCCTGGTTCTCTCTGGGGTCTTGGCATGTCTGGGGTAGTGATTTGAGGCTAACTATTACTTATGACATCACATTGTTAACAAAATTGATGATGCCAGCACATACTGCCTCACCACTGCCCCTTGTCATCCATCTCATCACATGAGAACCAGGTTCCCAGCTGGACACTCAGATTGAGATGACATGGGGAGGAGCTGCCCAACACGGCAATGAAGACAATGAAACTGGGAGTTCCAGATGGTTTAGGGAAATCAGTGTAAGAAAAAGTGATTGTGCTGTTCTGCGGTATGTCCAGCATTTGTAACAGGGGATGGATTTCTGTTTTTTCTCTAAGAATGTATTGACTTTTTTCATCACTGTTGTGTTTCCAAAACCTAAGTTTAGTAGAGACAGAATCTGTCAAATCATGTTGACGTTAAATCAAGTTGACGTTAAAGCATGTTGACATTAAGAGTCTGGGTGGTATTATAGGAATTGACTGACAGTAAATCACCTTGGCATAAATGTACCTGGGCAGGACCCTATTGTCATCATGTGAGCATCTGATATCTGTAATGGTGTTTGTAACTGCCTAACTGTGTCAAGGTTTAAAGGCTTTTCTCATGCTCTCACTGACCAGGGCTGGACTGGAGAGGAGGGAGGCTGGGGTGGTCCACCCAACCCCCTTGTGGTGCTGTGTGCATGTTTAATGGGTCACGTGGTAAGAGGATGTTTGGTTTTCTAGAAAACTGCCAACTGTCTTTCAAAGAAGCTGTACTGTTTTGCATTTCCACAGCAATGCTCTGCATCTTTGCATTAACTTGGTGTTGTCAGTTTGGGGATTTTTGTCATTCAAATGGATGTGTAGTAGTATGTAATTGTTTTTTAATGTGAATTTCCTTAATGATGTTGAACATCTTTTCATACACTTATTTGAATCTACATATCTTTGTTCAGATCTTTGCTCTTTTTTAAATTGGGTTGTTTGCTTTCTTATTGCTGAATTGGAAGAGTTTTTTGTATATTTTGGATCCAAGTCCTGTATCAGAGAAATGTTTTCCAGTTTCTCCTATTCTGTGGCTTGTCTCTTCACTCTCTGAACAGTGTCTTTTGCAGAGCAGTCTTAAATTCTAATAAAGCCCAACTTACTACATTTTTCTTTCTTTCTTTTTAATACATTTTTATTGAAGTATAGTCAGTTTACAATGTTGTGTCAATTTCTGGTGTGCAACATAATGCTTCAGTCATACATGAACATTTATTTATTTGTTTTCATGTTCTTTTTCACCATAAGTTACTACAAGATATTGAATATAATTCCCTGTGCTATACAGTATAAACTTGTTTATCTATTTTATATATAGTAGTTAGTATCTGCAAATCTCGAACTCCCAGTATATCCTTTCCCACTCCCTACCCCCCATAACCATATACATTTTTTTCTTTTATGGATAATGCTTTTAGCATTTAGTGAGTCCAAAAACTCATAGGCAAACCCAAGATCATGTAGATTTTCTTCTGTGTTACCTTCTAGAAGTTTTATAGTTTTCCCTTTTATATTAAAGCCTAAGATTCATTTTGAATTAATTTTTGTATAAGGTACGTGTCTAGGTTCTTGCCTCCTCCTCCTCCCGTTTTTCTTCTTCTTCACATATGGATATCCAATTGTTCAAGTATGATTTGTTGAAAAGACTCTTCTTTCTCTATTGTATTTCCTCCGTTCCTTTGTTAAAGATGAGTTAGAAACTTATTTGTGGAGATTGTTTTATGACACTTTGAGCACTGTCCTTGTTGTCCTCAAAACTCCCTTCATGTTAATTATTTTAAGATCAGAGGCGAAGTATCTCGACAAACTAAGGCCAGCTCTTAATCCTGTGTTATCAGTCCTCGCCCTGGAGAGTCTCTGTGCATGTCCTCTGTCACGATGTGTAAAAACAACACCAGAATTCATTACTGAGCCAAACTTGCTCTTTGTTAAAAAGAAATTCAGATGGCAAAAGAGAAGTGGAGGTAAAAGTAATTGAGTTCCATGGCACCTTAGCAAGACCCTTCTAGCCTAATTCTCTTCACCCTTCACCTCCTGAGTCCTGCACCGGCACCTCCTCATTCAGGGCTGTTCTGGCTACTTCAGCAAGGTGCTTCTTCTTAGGTGGTTTTCTATTTTCTATCTCACTTTCCACGAGCGACACAGGTTAGCGAACACTGACCACACCTCTCTCTTGTCTCATTTCCCTCTGTGAGTGGATAAAGCTCTGGAGGACGGAGGCTCTTGCTTCTTTTGCCCCCTCCACGGCATCCACTGTGACTTCTGCCCAGAGAAGGTTAACGTCTAGAGCTGGAAAGTTACAACTAAAAGGCTGATAGAAAGCACCCATTAAAAAAATTACACACACACACAATCATATGCATAAGAAATACGAAAGAAATCAGTGATGCCAGTTAGTTCAGGAAAGAATGATGGCTTTGGGGAGAAATTTGGACCATAGGTTTGGCACTAAAGACCCCAGTTTTCAGTACAGACGAGAGGCAAAGCTGACCCAGAGGGAAAGGAAGTAATCCATTCAACATGTGTTTTTTGGGCTTGGCATTATGCTGACTTGTGTGGTGAAGTGGGGTGATGGGAGGAGGAGATGGAAGAGCGTAGGACACAGGTGACACGTGATTAGCACTTCAAAGGGGCCACGCGCTGTTTCAAGAGCGTCGCAGCTTTTAACTCCTTGAATCTTCATAATAACTCTAGAAGGTAGATCCTGTTCTTGTCTCCATTTCATAAGGGAGGGCACTGAAGCACCGAGACAAGTAGGACAACTTATCTTAAACCATAAAACTAGACAGAGTTAGACTCTCCAGGCTGGCAGAGTCTGGGTCCAGAGTCCTCACTCTTAAGCGATGTACTTTCCTGGCACTCAGGCAAGCAAACCAAAACCCACCCTGGGGGTTAGAATCCTGCTTGTAAAGCATTACAGGGATTAATTGGAAAGGAGTTTTTACGAAGAAGATGGTATTAAAGAGGCAAAGAACCTGAAAGAACTTAATGCCAAGGTGAGACCGGAGACCTGATTCAAATGCTATTAGAAGGTGATGATGGGTCTTTAGCAGGACAATGACATGATGAAACAGCGTGTTGAGAATAGTCACTGCATCTCAGTGTGAAGACTAGATTGAAAGAAAAGAATCCTATTTGAAAAAAAAAAAAAGACTTGGAGCGCCTTAGCTCTGTATTAGGTTCTAGCCGTTGGAACAGAGAGGAAGGCGTGAAGCTAAAGCCACGTGGAAGGAAGGGCAGGAGTGTCTTGGCCGTTCGCTGCCTACCTGGGGTACAGAGGGTGCCTGATACTAGTTGAGATGCAGTACAAAGAGGAAGAGGGGAGATGAAGGTCACCGGGGAAAAAAAAAAGATCCACGGAATCATGTGAATTCAGCAGTAGAGGTTTCTCAAGCTTTCTCAAGATTAGTAGACGTGGAAACGGTCCCACGTTCCACAGTCCTTCAATATTTAGAAATTTAGCATGCTTGTGCTTCTTCAGAGAATATGAAGACTATTAAGGCTGTTAAAGCAGCTCAGAGAACAGAAAGTCATTCTTATTGCCAATATGAAGACGGCTTCCTCATGAAAAAAATAAAAGCAAAATAAAAACAGAAAAGAAAAGAAGAAACGGTGCCCTCTAGCGGTGACTAAATGCAAGCAATGAGG